CATGACGGCAAAAATAATGTCTCGGAGTCTGTCCTGACAAGAGAAAGCCCCAATTATTGTTGCAAGTGCTCCACAATGCATGTTTACAATCGAGTGCCAAGGCCTTGAGAAGCTGAGTAATGATGACCAAAGCAAAAGAAGTCAGTAGAGGGAAGAGATCTGGGGGGAGGATGGATGGGTCAACAAAACACTAGCTAGTTGTACTGAAAATTAGGATTTCATTTGATGCTTCGACTGAAATCGTGACACCTTCAAATGTCATCAGCACAGTAAGAGAATCGAGTGCAGACAAAAACCTGCGGAATGTTTCTTTATTTTCTACTAAAGTGCAGAGACTTTACCCTCTGCATTCTTACACCAGGCGAAATGTGGCACTTCATTTGAAATAAAAACAGCATTTAGCGTCTAATTTGGTTGCAGGGATCAACTTTGAAAGGAAATTCACGTTTAACATAATTATATAGCAACACCTCTGCAGAATATTAACCGGTGTGTGTTCTACTGAGATGTGGCTTCAAAGCCATTACCCTCCTTCCTTACAACATAGGTAACAAAGGAAAAAGCAATGAAGGCTATTACAGGGAAATGAAGCAGTCAAAGCACCTCGTTCTGAACACTACAGCCTGAACAACCCTTTCAATCACAAAGCACCATTTGGAGGTGTCATCTGTAATGCAGCCATTACCTGTTCCAGAAAAAACTATTAACTCAGTATTCTGTCTCCTTAAATTCATCATGCTGCCTCTTTTTGTGCAATAAGGTAATGGGAAAGGACACTTTCGGAGTTTCACTTCAAGCTGAAATGTCCGTCATTGTCAAAGTGACTGATCACCCTGAGATAAACGTAGTGACAGGGCTTTTTTTTTTTAAATAAAAAAAGTGATCTCTTTAAGATTGTCATAAAGGATAAATGTATGAAGGGGCTAAAGTGACACGATTCACTTTAAACCCTCGAGCTCCATTCTTCTTTAATTCATCTGTACTTGTTTAAGTGTGTTGCGTTCTATGAAAGAATAATGCCACTTTATTGCAGGACGAGCCTCTATCAAAAGCTCTACAGCGTTTTCACAGTTCCCTTTTATTTCTTTCGCTCTCTTCCTCGGCATTAGTTGATGTGTGCTAGCTCCCTTTTGTTTTGACAGTGCTTCCAGCATCAGCCAATCTGGAGTGTTGAAGGCTAGTTGTTGGCATATTTGAATGAGTACTTTGTTCTTCTGGGTGTCTTGTTTCCATTCCCCAGCAATTCTATATTTGTTTACCTTCACTTGCTTGTATCAGATTTCTACCCCCACACTTACTTAAGTCTTCATCCCTTCATTCCCTGACTACCCTCTGAGTGTTACTTGTTTCCTTTTTTTTCTTTGCGCCCTGTGGTTTCACTCCATGCTGTGGAAATGACAAACTGTCAGCTCCACTGGGAGAGAAGTTGAAAAAAGAAAAAGAAAAAAAGTCGGCTGCTGGGTTCTGGACCCAGCTGGACCTTTGCGGTGCCCTCTACACCAGATGGGCCCCGCAGATTGCACTGGGCTCACTCCAGCCACCAGCTCATTTGCATTGATTGTCTGGATCTTCTTGCTCTCTCATTACAGGCTTAATGACAGTGAGAGATTGGGGCCAAAGCTGAATAAAACAAACATCAATAGCTATCCAGGGAGCAAAGAATCACTTTGAAACATGTCCTACTTTCCCTCAAGAACTGCTAGGCTGTCTTAAGGCCAGTAAAAGTATGTAGTCTGCACTTATGCATTGTGCCCTTTTACCATCTAAAGCACAATACAATGTTTCCCATTCAACCACTGACACACACTGTCACGCTAATGGCGGTGTGGCTGCTGTGGAAGGGGCTTGTCTGCCATGAGGTGCAACTTGGAGTTCAGCATCTTGCCCAAAGACACTTTGGCATGTGAAGCAGACTTAACCGCCATTTTGCAATTAGATGACAAAGTGCTCTACCAGGGTTTCCTAAGAGGTTTTTCAGGGGCAACCTCCTGTTTCTGGGGGGTTTTCTATCCATTTTTGCAGGGGCTACTCATACATGGTTGAATAGACCAGGAAATCTATGTTGCCTGAACAACTCTGATTGAACTGGTTTGTTGGACAAGCTCAAACTTTTGAAGTACATCCGACATTTTAAGTGAAATAAAATAATAATAATGACGTTGTTGATACTCTACTACTCAACTAGCACCATCTGTAGATCATAAGTTTTGGTTGTCTGGTTAAATATCTTTTCAACGACGGATACGCTGGTGTAACGTTCGGTACAGACATTCATGGTTCCCAGACCATAGAACCCACTGACCTTGATGACTTAAGTTCCGTTTGAATAAAATGTCTCAGCAACCATCTGAAAGATTTCTTTGAGATCTGGTTTAAAGATTCAGGTTCCTCTGAGCATAAACTGTTATCACATCACTACTTCAAAAATTCACACGGTGCAATCATGAGGCCAAATTACTAAAAAATAATGACGTTTCTACAGCCTCAGCTCTGCATACAGGCTAACAGAGCAATATGCATGGCTGTGGATTTTTTTAGCCTTGTGGGTGCCCAGTGGCAAAACAGAAAAAAACATTTGCACATTCCACCGATTTAACATTTCATTACTGTACCACTGTAACACTGATGCATGATGGATGGAAAGAAAAAAATATCAACATAGATGCAGCAGAACCAGAAATATTGGATTTTCAACCTGGTGCCTGCATGATCCAAAATCCAACATGCCTGTCAACCGGATATATTGATAATTAGGTGTGTGGTCATCTTTCAAACAGAAAAAAAATATATGCATGCACAGCTATGTCGACTTAGAAAAGTTGTAAACCTTGATGGGTAGTTATTTTAGTGTTTGCCTTTCTTTATTCACTTTAGTCGCATAAATGTGTGACTGTCACTGCTTCGCCCCTCAAACTTCTTTTCAGCCATGTCTGTGCGTTCCTGCATCTGTGCAATCAACAGGTTGAGTGAGTCGCAAAAGTACGAATGCAAGCCAAAACTACAAAGATAAGATTGGATGAAACTTTTCTTTTATGTCCTAAATTGCGAAACGCTTTTTGTGGTTGGTCCACATCTTTGCAGCCAAGCTTTCAGCGCAGTGAATTTATGCCAGGTATGACTTAAGAACTACAGAGTGACGCTGGGTATATGTTAGTCTTGGAAAAAGCAAAACATAAATGACAAAGAATTCTGACTCATTATAGCTTGTGTAGTGACATAACCGTCAGTCTGGAGATGTTCCTGTTGTCTGAAAAATACTGGCAGTCTGTTCACTTGACATTTCCATGCAGACTTGCGGAGACTTTTCAACCTGGCACCTTATGTGCTCAAATCAGCAGATGGCTGTGGAACTGCTCAGTGAAACGTCGACTATAGTGAGGACCTCCAAAGAAATCTGTAATCTGTAACTGATGGTGAAGCAGAACATATGTGCCCAGCTAATCATCCTTGTGGAGACAGAAAATAAAATAGCAAAGAAATACATACAGCAAAACATTATTTTTCTGATTCTGGTTTGATTAAACCTACATATTGCACATATCGATCTTATAGATTAGTGAACAAAACTTAATCTGTGCAACTTTATCTTCACAAAGCTGCAGTTTTTAAATGATCAACTCGAATCAATCATGCTTTGGAAAGCTGACCTGCTGTTGGGGCACTGCTGTATGATTGTGCACTTTAGACTTGCTCACTTCTACCTGTTTATGCTCAGAATCGAAGAAGGGTCCTCTGACCATCTTATCTTTACATTTCAAAGTCTTACTCCCGGAAAACCTGTCCATTAGTTCACAGGAATCGACAGCTTTCGTGACAGCTGCATTTGGGCCTCATCCTCTCCCCTGCTCCTGCCTGTCAGACTGAATGAGCTTTATTTAAAAGTCAGTAACAGACGGACAACTCGGAGGAGCTGCTTCCAGGCTCCCTGGGTGCCTTGTTAAAGATCAGTGAGGGTAAACTGTTGCACTGACAGATCAGAGTAGAGCCGGGCAACTGGCCAACCACGCACAAAGAAGCGTCCACCTTCAACATGCTCAAAAAAATCCCACACATAGCTACAGATAACATGAGCTCACAAATAGTTCTATACAAACTTGTTTACATATGCAATCAAGCATAAGAGCCAGAAACAGGTATACATTTTCAGCCCCCTCCTATTACGATGCTATTTTATATGCTGCAGATTTGTGCTTGAGATAATGCTTCTCCAGCAGAATGTGTGTGTGTGTGTGTGTGTGTGTGTGTGTGTGTGTGTGTTCCACCACACCTGCTCATTCAGGTTGGCCTGAGGCACACTGCTATCTGTACTCAGTGGGGTTGTTCGAGATATAACTGCCACACACACACACACACACACACACTCGCGAACACACACGTAGAAATAGCTCATAGCTGTCCCACCCCCCACTGTGTGAGAGGCAGGCTCATTTTCCCACTCAGTGGTTAGCCTCTCGCTTAAGGGAACCTGCACAGAGCACCGAGCCTCCGGCAAATGCCTGCACACACACACACACAGTTGTGCTTCCATCACATCTGAGGATATTACACTGACTTACATTGATTTCCTAACCACAGCCGTAATGACTAGTGGCTAACTTTCACTTAACCCTAACACAAAACCAAGTCTTCATCCTAACATTTAATGATTTATGGGGACTTGCTTTTTGTCCCCAGAAGGGAGGCAGGTCCCTACTTTGTGACTGTGAAAACACAATTTAAGTCCTTACAACATGAGTACCACCAGTACACACACACACACTTACACACATTCTCCCCAGTCTATCAAATCAGCTGCAACTTTAGTGTTTTTTGTGATCCCAAAAGGTAAGAAGAAGCAACAGGGAGTGATGAGCTTGCTGATGTCAATCACACACTGGATAAAAACAAAGGCATTGAAATGTCAGTCAGAACAGTTTGACTGTGTCACAAGACAATAGAAGATAAAGGGAACAATGTCAGTCACAAACAGGTTCACACGCACACAAACAGAGAAATCGTACCATGAGCATCGCGGTAATACGCATGTGTGACGCTCCGGAAACGTTCCTGACCAGCAGTGTCCCAAATCTGAGAGGGAAGAAGGAAGTAAGAGGTGGCATCAACATCACATCAGTTAACACACAAATCCATTAATTTTCTAAAACTATTCCGTGCACAGTCATAGTTCAGCAACTTAGCAGTTTAGCAAGTGTAACAAAGCAGCATGGATCCCGGCTGCAGTCGGATGATGCAGTGTTTAGTGTAGACCATGGTGTTTTCTTTAGAACACAGAAGTAAAAAATGTATTTAAAAGTGTGTTTATCGCTAAAATGTGAGCTGCAACCATAGAGTGTATAGAAAAAATGAACATAATGACCATGAAATGGAATGCTGTTGTTAAGCTCCCTGGATGGAATTTGGCCAAGGGTGAGGGTTGGAGCACTTGAGGACACTATGCACATCAATATAGTGACCGTTAATCACTTGATAGCCCTACCTTGACACACACCAAACGTGCTTTTTTATCTAGTTTTCTCTAAATTGGAACATCGTGTACAAAATGAAGATTTAGTTGTGTTCAATAAAATGTAAAAACTAGAGAACTCGTGAACATGAACTCATTAGGAAAATCTTAACTGAGGTTACAGATTAAATGAGAAGCAGGGTAATTTTCTTATAGAATTTCATATAATCTGAGTTCCTTTTGTGACAGTAGAGTTGCCTCCTGCTGGCTTTTGCACAGACAAAGGTTTAAACAGAAACTCCTTAGTTGGCTCCAAGACAAGACGCAAACCAATATGAGCACACTTACCACATAGTTGTTAGCAAACAAAGATCATTGAATTTTATTTAAAAGTCACTTATGTCACATTACATCAAATATATTGATTTCTCTGCATTTTAAACACACAGCGTGGCAGCAATATCCAGGTTTTGGTTTTGCAAGCAACACATTATTGAGGTAATAAGGCTAAAGGGAGCTAAAACTAAACACTAATGTTCCTGTAAATGCTGTAAGTAATTATGAATTCATCAAGAATTGGGGTGACTGGCACTTTTAGTGTATGTCCTTTTCATTCACAATACTGACAAATTAGATTCTGAATGTACACACAGGTGACAAATGAAAGGAAAAGTCTGAACCCTTGACCCCTACAGTGAGCTGAAGCATGATGCTGGTATTGTTTGGGCTCATTTGTTACTTTAAAGGGAAGGGTCACTGCAAATCAATACCTAGTGGTTCTTATCATATGATGGAACATTTTAGTCCTGGGTCTCTTCAAGGGTGACAATGTTCCCATCTGTAGGGCAAGAGGGGTCACTGAATGGTTTGATGAAAATAATCGTATACTATGGTCTCCACAGTTACCACATCTTAACCCAACTGAACACCTACCAGAGATTTTTGACCGATGTTTCAAACAGCGCTCTGCACAACCATCATCAAAACACCAAAAAGGGGAAATATGTTTTTGAAAAATGCTGGTCATCCCTCTAGTTAAGTTCAAAGACTTGGTCAATAAATGTCAAGCAGCACTGAAGATGGTCTGGCAGCACATGACGGTTCAACACCGTACTGAGACATTTGTTGGTTTTACCTTTAACTTGTCACCCGTCTGTAAATATAGAGCACTATAAAGTAAATGGAAAAATATCAGACACATCCCTCCTCTTTATTGGATTTTTCTGAAGTTTGTACATCAAACCAGTCAGAACATAAACTTTAGCCTTGGTCTGTTGGCATGTAGTCATCTGTGTGTAACTTCTACAAGTTTCTTGTTTTAATAACCTCATGAAGTTGCATATGCTTAATTAGTTAGCTATCTATTGCCAACAAAATCTGCCAGCGACTGGCTAGAAATAAGAAGCCTGTTTTTGTTTACTTCACTGAGAAATTAAGAACCGCTTCATTAAAAACATGAAGACTATCAAGTTGTAAATCATGTCGTTTTTGTAAAATGTTATGAGGGATAAGAAATGATAAATGGTCTTTTAAACCAACTTCATTTTCTGTGTATATTTTCAGGACTGTCTTCAACCACACACTCTACACACCTCTAACAAAATGCATTTTCTTGCAAAGCAGAGTGCATTTTACCTGCACCAGGCTGAACTATGTGCTTTGCATTTCTTGAAGCTGTTCTAAACAATATTTTTACAGCAACAACGGATGGAATTACTATGGGTAATGTGAAAGAACTCACTTATAGTAATAAATCATCACTGACCTTCACAGTGTCTCTTAGATGAATTTTGTTTAAGCTCAGTGTTGTGTTTTTACAGCATGCAACTTTTTTTTGTTTTCAGATGCATCTCTTAGCTTTACTGAAAACGCTCAGAGAAATCCATCGCATTTTTCCTGCTCAGTGATTAACAGCTGATCGACAAAATCAATAACTAAACGAAGCATTTTTCCCCTAGAAGTTGGTGGAGAGCAAAACAGAGCTAAAAGAAGAGCGAACACTGGACTTGACTCCAGATAAATACTAGTGTTGCCCAAACATGCAGAGATGCAACTGCTTGTCAACACATTACTTAAGAGTAACTGTGTGCGCTGTGCTGCCCCCAAATGACTCGTAGAAAGTAAGACATTTGACATTTTCTCTCAGACGCTTTGAAAAATCAAAGACTTTGCAGTGACATATCCACTTATGCTGAATTGTTGTAATTACACCATTAAGTGGTACACTCATTTAGAAGTTATAAGTGCATAGAAGCCTGCAAGTTTCATTAAACTCGGCTTAAGATATCACCTGAAATGTCACATTTGACAGATAGACCGATGGTTGAACACAGGGTGGTTAAAGAAGAGAAAGATGAAGGCGGCGTGAGCGGCGCGTAATTGAGGTGGAAAACTCATCAGACGGTATCTAATGCCATTCTTTTTTTTCTTTTTTTTGAACAGCCAGGAATCTTCTGCACCTCTGCCTGCCCGTGTCTCTCGCTGATAACTTCCAGGCTTGATAATCTGATGGAAAGTCTGCTATTCCCTCTAGTGTCTTCAGTCAGGCAGAGCAGCAGGCTAATTGACTGATAGAGATTAACCGAGGCCTCATTAAGTCATCGTTTGTGCTTCCTCACCCTCCCGCAGCAGGAAATGAAGATGTATGGGAGGTTTTAACACCATGGGAAACAGTTGGTGGTGATTTGTTAATAAAAAAGAACCCACACGTTAAAAGAAACAAAAGATTCAAAGAGATACTGTACACTCGGGCTCTTACCTGCAGTTTGACCTTCACGGCGTCAATGGTCATGACTTTATTCTGGAAGAAAACAAAAAGGGAGAGAAAAGAAAAGTAAATCCAAATGTGCAGACAAAGAAAGCAACGACAAAAACTGATGACGCCATGTGACACAAGTGGGTACAAGTCATTATTTAAAACAATACAAAGGCAGCAGAATCAGACTAAATGATGCTTTCATGCACCGCCAGAGGGGAAGGCTGTTTTCTAAAAGGAAAAAAAAAAGGAGTTTAGAAAGTAAACCCAGGCATGTATGCGGAGGCTGATGTATTATGGTTGGCTTTTTGTGACCACAGTTGGTGTAATAAGGGCTCGGCCTCTGCTGTGAGGCTCTCTTTTATCAATGCGATGTTGTCAGCGCACTGTTCTATCTATAGTTCTGTGGCAATCCACACACACACACACACACACCTTTTGTTATGATGAAGCCTTTTGTTTCAGGGACTTGCATCATTTACCAACACCACGGTCGTCAAGCAGTTTAGCATAGCACACAAACACACCCACAAAAGGCTTTTCAATACCTCTGCTTTGTCACGTTACGGGGAAAAATAATTGGCCGTTGGTTTGGGTTTTTCACAAAGACGCCAAGTTAATGGTCGCCGATTGCAGCAGCTCCGGCATTATTTTCTATTATTCCATTAGATAAACCGAGAGCAGATCTAACTTTGCCATCTATCATTACAGGGGATGTGATAATACTGGCAAACAAGATGGATGAGCTCACAGCCTCGGTCAGGGCACAGTGGGAATATCAGCCACCCTGTCTAATGTGCTTCACAGAGATGCAGGCAAAAGAGCTTCAAGGGAGCATTTCCAAAACCTGAAAATAACCATTTTTCTCCGCATTTTAAACATGTCTTTTTATCCCATTGTGAATGTGATATTCCACCACATCATTTCCCACCAGACGCTGCGCCTTTATGATGATCATTCTATACATTTGCTCCATTCTGACAGTCATCCCATACTTGCCCCTTAGGACAAAGGGAGGCTGGTAGAATTCCTGCATGCAAATGCTCAAGGCGCATCCACTCCGTGCACTGTGCCTGTGTTGATGAGCCCACAGAATTTGGTATTCAGCGACATACTTTGAGGTCTCTGCAGGGTGAAACCTCCGGGAGTTCTCCTTCTGCAGAAGTAGAGTCACTTGTTCTTGTTGCAAATACAAAAATCCAACTAAAACAATTTACACAGTAAATTACTGAAGGCCTCAAATGTTTCCTTAAAAAAAAAAAAAAAGACTTTTTAAGAACTTTCTCAGCAGCTGTCACAGCATGACAAGGGAAATGAGCTCAGGAGGAAAAGTGTCACACCTGTATTACCTGTATTTATCTGCACTGCTCAAGGTCAGGAAACATGAGACTGAGTGTGAACCTACCCCCTGTGGATTGGAAGTTGTGTTTGAATAATATTAATACAGCGTACAAGGAAACGGATAACAGGTTTATTCGACAGAAATATTAGGCAGATTTTGTCACACCACAACTGCTATATAACTGGAATCAGATTCATAGTGGAGATGGAACAGAAATGTGTCTCCCTTTAGGTATGTCTTTGGTCATATCAAGCTTTTAAAGTTCCTCTCTGGTCATTATTAAACTCCTAAAAACTCACCTCTGTGCATCAACGTTACATATTTTGAGTTTTGTTTATTTTTCCACACCTACACCCACAAATTACTCTTCGTTGCACAAGTTATAATACTGGAGTAAATATAAAATTGAACCAGAAACTGATTCTTAGACACGTTAGTATGAAACAGCAGAAGTCCAAAACTGTGTTTATGAGATTGTCATCAGCACACTGCAAGTTTAAGGTGGAAATGCTCAGCCATGGTGGTGACACCTTATTTTACTCATGACATGTATTTTTAGCATATAAAAAACACCATATGGACATGTTAACAAAGTTAAAAACCATGATTTTCACTGGCAGGGGTCTTTATAGGGAGAATAATATGCGAGAGATTCGAAGTTCGAAACAAAAAGTTCCAAATCTCTTCAAAACTGTTTATTCTGGGCTCAACCATTGCACTCCAGAACTTCTCTTCCTTTGGATAATTTTGGCTTCTCCAGCAGCCAAACAGATTTAATTTAGACACTGGAGAAAGAGACAGTCACCCCATTTCAAAGAACAGTCTACAACAATACCACAGTTGGTGTCTTATGGGAACGCGACATACTTTCTACTGAATAAGCTTCATCACCATGTTTATGTGGGGCACTTTCATCAACTGGCTCAGAATCTGTAATTCAAAGGTCAATCCGTCAGTGGATGGTTGTGTTTATCCTTGGAGGACGAGTTTTCTTAACGTTTAATTTGTCGATATTTTGTACATTTAGTTTTGATTGATCTCCATTTAAGCGAATCAATTCCTTCCCATCTAATTTCTGCATTTAGGGTTTTAATGAAAGGCTCATCTCAAAAAGAAAGAGTGTTTTCGGACTGATTTTGTCAAACATTATCGAGAATTTGAAGAGGCAATTGTGCCGTCTTTATCATTACAACATCAATATGTGCAGTGTGAAAGCAAAAAAACAACTTGACAGGTGTAGCGACGGGAACTGAAGGGCAATCAGCACATCCATTACACGAGTCAGAATCTGAAAACCACATCGATTATCAGAGTGTACATTTAGACTATGTCTGCATGTTTCTCCATCTGCCTGAAGACAGAAACTTTAGTTGCATTTTCTGTCTGGGTCCTGAGAGGCCCTGGGTAGAGAGTCTAAAAATGCTGATAGTGTCCACTTTGCTGATCCATGGATGTTTGTGTGCATTTAAGGGCCAAGATAGGAGCAGGAGGTGAAAATGGCAACCAGGGTTTTTGCTTTCAGTGGAGCTACCACCAGAACAAGAATATTGAACACAAAAAGGAAAAATATCAGGTCGCTCTGACCAAAAGTGGTGGTTGGTCAAAGAACAGTGTCAAAACCTCAGATGAAGAGCTAAAGGACACATCATTTGAGCCTCTAGAGAAACAGGAAAGGAGCTGGCAGCAGAAATGTCTGATCTGTTCCCCCAGTTTTAGCAGCAGAGAAATTGAAGTTATGATTGCTTTTCACCCACAGATGAAAAAGCCTTTTTCATTGAGGCGGCATCGCCTGATTCTCAAGCACAACTAACCAGAGTGGGCAGGCTGCTATGTCAGACAGCAACAAGACCTGCCAAGTAATGAAAGAAAGCTGCTGAATGCAGGAGGCAGCGAGCTGTCTCATGTGCTAAAAGCATGTCAACATACATACAGCGCCTACAAGAAGTTTTCAGCGCCCTTTGGAAGTTTTCCTTTATTTTTGCTATTGAACATTGAATCATGGTCAATTTAATTTGGCCTTTTTTTTTAACAGATTTCTACGAGGTAATGTCCATTAATTAAAAATATAAAATGTAAAATAAGTGACTGTATAAGAATTAACCTTCTTCAAGTTGGTATTTAGTTGTTGCATTTTTGACTACAATTACAACACTGAGCCTGTGTGGGTAGGTCTTCTACGTTCTTCTCTGCAAAACTGCTCAAGCTCTGTCAGGTTTATGAGTGGAATTGGGGGCAGCTTTTTTCAAATCCAGCCACAAATTCTCAAAAGGGCTGGGGTCTGATCCAGCCACTCAAAACATTCACCTTGTTGTCTTTACACCATTTCTGTTTAAATCTGGTGACATGTTTTGGATCATCTTACTGGTAAACAAATCTTCTCCTACAGTTGCATTTCTCTATCTCGTTGTCCCTGTGCTGCACTCATTTTACCCTCAACCTTTACAAGTCTCCCAGGTTCTGCGACCGCAAAGCGTTCCCACATCATGATGCTGCCACCACCATGTTTCACGGCGGGCTGATGTGTTAGTGATGACATGCAGAGTTTGGCGTCCACCAAACATAGCGTCAGCTCTGATGGCCATAAAGCTCAGTTTTGGTCTAATCTGACGAAAAACTTTCTTCCAATTGATTTCAGAGTCGACCACATACCTTCAGTTAAACTCGAGATTTAGTATGAGCTATTTTCTACAGTGGCTTTCCTTTTGCTTCTTTCCCACAAAGCTTTGAATGGTGGAGAACTCAGGCAACAGTTGTCTGAAAGGTTTCTCCCATCTCAGCCACTGAAGCTTGTAAGTCCTTCAGAGGAGTCATATTTATCTTGGTGACCTCTGTGAGTAGTCTCTTTCTTACAGTCTTCAGGCAGATGTACACATGTGCCATATCCTTTACATTTCTTAATGATGGATTTAATTGTACTCCAAGGAGTTTAGTTCAGTTTTCCTGTATCCATCCCCTGACTTCTTCTTTTCTGTAACATGTTCATAGAGTTGCTTGGAATGTTCTTTTGTCTTCATGATGCAGCTGTAGCCAGAAGTATTGATTCATAAGTACCTGGAGCTTCCAGATACAGGTGAATTTACATTACATACACTTGAAACACATTCACTGCACTACGATTATCTCATTTTGACAATTTTTTTCACTGCTACAATCAGTTGCCTGCATCTTTGTTGAACTAGGTGAGTCACCTTAAGAGGTGAAAACGTCTGCAATCGCTTTTTTTGTGTTATTTTCAATTAATCGTAATTACTTTGTAGACATCTGTTTCACTTTGTAAACTGTTGTCCAGAAAGCCAAATGAAATTGACCATAATTTAATGGTGAAAACTAATAAAAGAGAGAAAACCTCAAGGGGAACTGAATACTCTTTATGGGCACTGTTTCAGGAATACACACAAAAATTCAATTTGAAAGAACTCAGTATCTCCTGGGCAGATCAGAGTTGATAAGAGAATGAGTCTGAGTCACAAGTCGCTGCTATCTGTGCAGGGAGTCGGTTCACTGAGTGGCTAACCACTGTGTGTGGGAAAATAAGCTAATCACAAGAACAAAGAATTTATTTGGTCACTCCACTTAATGCTGCCTCACATGTGCCAAAGGTTTCTTTGCTTTGCAATTAAACTGTAGACTCAAAGCTGTGTTAGTGTGGGTTTGAAGACTTGAGCAATTTTCCTATTCACTAACAACATACTTCCCCTCATTC